ATTCCCCGGGGTGTAAGGACCCGGCCGGGGCGGGGAGCGCCGCCTGAGCGCCGGCATTACCTGGGGGACATTTTTTTTTTTTTCCAATTGAGAAAAAAAAAAAAATGTAGATGTAAGCTAAATGTAGCAGCGTCATACCTTGGTAAGAGACCTACACAGGTAAAATACCACAACTTGGATCAAGCGCTGCTAATACTTGTCTTAGCACAATGTCCCTTAAGACTTGCATAAGGGATAGGAAGCTGTGAGATTGCCTTTTATTCACCCTGAATAAAGGGAAATAGTTGTGTAAGGTGAATACTCTTTTTGGAGGAGTGTCAGCTGGTCAGATCGATGCTTGCATAGCTATATGGGGAAGGAGCAAGGTGACACATGGGTACAGATGGGGGGGAAGCTTCCATCGTCCTCGAAGGAACTGGTATTTGGGCATGGGAAAAGTTGTCACTACAGGCTGCAGGGCTTAAACCTTGGACTGAGGAAAGCTTTTCGTCCCAGTTTTCTTTGCTATGTGCTTGGCAAAGCAGAGCTTACTCCTGTAAATAGAGTTTTGTGAACGTGACTCTTTAGAATACACTGGGAAATTTGTAATAATCTGCAAAATCCTGAATTATATTTAGTTTCTGACATCAAAAGGAATAATAGTAGCCTTCTGCATATGTTCCTGCTTTGATGGCATGTGTAGCCTATGTGAAAGATCACGTGCAGTGGTCCCAAACTGTTGCAGTTGTGATGTCCAACATCCCATGGAAATCGAGCAGTTTGCCTTGGGAGTGCCCATAGGAGATCCCCACTCATGGCAAGATCAGCAGCCAGATGAGATGGGATCACTTGAGGCTTTCTGCAGCCGGGTCCTCGAAACCTCCAGCATGGAGGTGCCACAAGCCCTCTGGGGAGCCAGTGCCGCTGCTGTCTGTCCCCACTGTGCAAAATGCCTGCTAATAACCCCGTAGAACATCTCTTTCCATTCTTGTCTCTTGTACATGCTAGTGCAGTTCTGAGAAACAGCAGCTTATTGTATTAGCTGTGTTATTATGCTGATATGGCGACACTGTTAGTCACAAGAATCTGCTTTACTACTGGCTCAGGTGCCTCTTCTGAGGGGTAGACACATGAGTTGCCTGTATTCCTGCAGTCAAGAATGATCAATTTTTGATTTGGGCGATTTTGAAACAAAGTATTTTCCGAAACAACTGAATATTCATTCTGACATTTAGCAACTGGAGTTAATACGAGTGGTGTACTTATCTAGGTGTATACAGTGGAAGAAGAGCCAAAACTCAAATAAGGAATTCAGTCTGTGGATTAGCATAAAAATGATGATTTTTTTTTTTGCTACATTATAGAAATTGATTCAATGTGATTACTGGTTCAGATTGGCAAGGAATGAGGAAAAATAAAAGCATTTTTAGTTCTTAAAATTACAACTATCCAGAAGTCAAATACTTGCTGGATTGTTGTTCTGGGAAAGTAAGGGATCAGGCTGCAAGCACTTCGTCAGGTTGAAGGCGAAGAGAAAAAAAAAAAGGGGGATTATATAGTAAAAAGAAATTTAAAATTAAGATAGAGCAGTCTTCTAAAATGAGAGAATAGTGAGATAAGAAATAAAGACTATAATAATTCTGAAACATTCGTATTTTGATTTATTTTCTTTCTTTAGCTAAAATCTTGAGTAAAATTGAAGTAGCATTGATTGAATCCCTACAATGTTATTTACAGTTTACAGCTTTCAATTGTTCAGATAAGCAGAATGCATTTCCAGTGGGACTGGCTATGTTTGGGTGTCCTGATAATGAGCTCAGTAACTACAGAAATTGAAAATGAAGAAAATGGAGATACAGGTATTGAAGTGGAGGATTTTGACAAGGAATCTGAAGATCACGACGTTGGCAAAGATATGTCTCCTTTAGGGGTAAGTTTATAGATGTCTTTAGTTAACTATGTTTGATTTTAAAATAGGTGTAATAGAAATTGTGTAATGGAAATTGGTATACCAGTGCATTTTAAAAAGAGCAAATTGAACACAACGTAGGCAGTGTATGTCAAATCCCTAGGTACAATCTATGACACGGAGGACAAGCTTCGTAAAGGAATCTACTATGTCAAAGTAGAAAATAAGATTTCCTACCTGTAGTGCATAGTCATTAAGAAAACCTTGCTAGTCTGTTGTTTAGAGTTGGAGTCTTTAGTTTTTAGTCATCCTGGAATGTAGCTTGCAGCCTAGGATTTGTTTATAGAGAAGAAAGCATAAAATGTTGCTTGGGTTTATTTTGACTTCAGAACAATTTATTGGTTTCATTAATCACAACTATCTCTCTTACCCCTTCTTTAATTATTTATTTCTTTGTTCTCCAAAGAGCTTCCAACTTTTGTTAAGCAGCTTCGTAGCAGATATGGACTATATGTATTATTTTTTACTTCACTGAGCAGCCCAACTGTATTGTGCTAAGTAGAAGCAGGGGAGGGATAGAGCAAGGCGGAGAAAGGAAAATATGTGCATAAAAAAGGACTGATGCAAATTCAGTAAACTGTCTTTTCTGAGCCCCTGTCCCCCTGATTTGTAATTTATCTTTGTTCTTCTCAAGCTGCAGGAGTAGATTGCCTTTTTCACAAGTTTATGCAGAAAACTGGGAAAACTTTCAACCTCTCAATCCTATTGAAAAAATGAAAGGACAGTCCAAGAATTTTCTCCTACAAACATGCTTAGTAAAACTTAGATCTCTAAATGTTCTGTGCTGTACTTAATTTGTAAACCTCAAGCATCCCCAGTTTCTTTTCCATATCAGTAGTGCTAACAGAGTATAGCTTTCTCTTCCCTTCTGCGTCAGTAATGAGAAAGAAACTTTGTGCTTGTTCAAATGTATGAATTTGAGTATTTGTTTTGGCTTTATTCCTTCTGGCCATTTTCTTCCATCTGATGTAAATTTAAAGTTATTTGGCATGTCTTTGGTATCACTGTCTTATATTAGGACTTCAGTACAGCGGAGCCAGGAAACTATTTCCGTATAAAATTGGTTACAGAATCTGAAGCATCAAGGATAAGTAGACATGACAGTATTTTAATGATGAACTTAGAACACAAGAAAAGCAAATTTTGTACTTTATGTGTGGTTTTATCATCGTATCTGAAACTTTCTACAAGAAACTTTAGAAAGATGTTGATATGTTCCCTTTGTCTATCTGCTGTTGCACAGCAAGAAGGGGCAAAAAAAGGAAAAGTAGTGATGCATTTGAACTCTGTACTGCTTCTAGAGGGAGAACCTTGATCTAGCTTTCAACAATCTGGAAAAGAGAATGGGTTTTTCTTCTATCTGAACATGAAGTTAAAAGTAACGTAGCAGCCCCTCTTATTACTAACGTACCACTGGAATTGAAACTCTCAGATTCCGCTGCCTTTTAAGGGTCCTTGCCCTGAGCCTTGATTTCCTTCGCTGCTTTTTACCACTGTCTCTTGGTCACCTGGATGAATCATGTCTGAGGAACTGCACATGGTTGGAGGGATGCACACCCCAACTATATATAGAATTGGGGCCAGGTCTTCATTTATTAGATGCTTTTAGTGAAGAATCTCTGCTGATCTGGCTGGGCGGATTACTTCTGCAGGTACAATAGTGGTTTTCATTGAAAAAATTGCTTACTAGAGCGTGCATCTATAAACATCTTTTAGGTTGTGTACCAGACTCCAAAGCCTACTGGGGAAGTATACTTTACAGAAACCTTTGATGGAATATTGGCAGGGTGAGTACTGCCTTAAAAATTATAAATTAACAGCTTTATCAGTTTAACCTAAAATGGCTGGACTCTTCTTTTTCTGTTAGTCTCATTTTGCTGATATTTTATCTAAAGTAATTTTATAGAGATTAGAATTGGGATAATACTGGGTAGTGCTTAATTGAGTAATACGTGTTCTGAACGCTTACTATTAATCTGGGTAATTAACACTTCAGGTATATTGCTATCTTTATGATATATTGAAGTACTTATTAGATTATGTTTGTGGATATTAAGAAAAATAATAGATTAGCACCTAACTGTCATTTGTCACTCATCTCCTCTGTGTGTGTATTGCTACTGTCAAATAGCACTAAGGATTATTTGGATGATTGTTTTATTTTCTTGTCAAGCTTGTAGATATTACACTTAAATTTTGCTATTTTCTGTTTATTTTTGGCCTTGTATGCTTTTGTAGTATTCTTATGCTTTTATAATATTTTTATAGGCTACCAACCTCAATACTTTTATAAGACTATGTGTTTTTTTTGAAACAACTGAATAATTTTAGAGTTATAAATGTATATTCATTTAAACTTTAGGAAGTATATCAAAATAAGGGTTAGTCTAGGCTAATCTATTATATTTTTTTCCTAGTTATTTTTAATACCTTTTTGAATAACCAAAAGGTCCAGGATTCTGACTATCAAAATTGCTATTGTAGATCCTAGAAAGCTAATGCTGTTTTTCCTTGTTTGAAAAGATTTTGCATGCCTATTTGCATTAGATGATTAAGTGACTAATATACTTCTTGTTTTGAGGTGGGTGTTGTCTAAAACCAAGAAAGAAGACACAGATGATAACATCTCTAAATATGATGGTAAAACCTTTTAATGTTTACTACTACTGTATGGTTTCTGATGCTCTTGTTTTCTAAGAAACAACTAACTTTTACACTGCACTTATTTTTAAAAACCTAAATGACACAGGTCAAAAGTCTTGTGTAATGATTATTGTTCTAAAAATTGGATTTGAGATGTTGTCTGTTGGGTCTCTTAGCAAGTGGACGGTTTTGTACCATCCTTACAATGCTATTGTGATGAATGATATTATAGTATCTTCTGGTATATGAACATTCACTACTAACAGTTTATGAGTGGTGCTTCTTGAGAAATAATGTGGTTTCAGAGGTTTGACACTTCAATTTCAGTTGATAAACGCGTTTTTAATGTAGCATTTTCCATGTTGCTGCATCTCGTATTAATTCATCAGTTGTTTAAAAGATCCTTGAACTTTGAGATTAAAAAAAAAAGGTGAAACTGAATTTTTTTTTTCATTTTTTTTTTAGATAGACTGTTTGTAGGATTCTACAGTGGTTCTTGTACAGTTTCTTCTTAAGAAGATATCCAAAGATAATAGCGATAAAGTTGTTTGGATGGAGTTTATTGTTACGGCTTCAAGTTAACAAAATCATAAGCTTGATATTTCTGTCTGAATATGGTATTAAACTGTTGTTGAAGAGATGTGATCTGTGGCAGTAATTTTGGAAGCTCAGTTTATTTCATTCATGAGGAGCCAGGGAGAACAGGAGACGTTTCTGCTGAAAAAGAAAAATTGCCAATACTTTTTGTCAAATGAAATCAATTCCGTCTAATTAAGCAAGCAAAAGTAACTTGAGGGACCTTTATGTAAGAGAGGGCACAGAATAGATGTTGTAGGGCATGAATTAACTGGTAAATGTTTAGAAGTTGCAGAGGTGATATCGATGCAGAAGAGATGCCTTTAAGAACCGAGACAGATATGCCCATTTCTACAGTTTAGTCCTCTCTCTGATTGCTTGGCCTTTTATTAGATGAAATTTCAATTCAGTGTGACTGTAGTATCAAAACAGTCACATTTGTTTAAAAGTCCACAGAAGAATTCTCACTGTAAAAGCCTGTGGTGAAAAGACCTTTTTAAACTCTTTTCCACATGCTTGATATTGTGTTCTTTCTTGGTGTTTTACTTAATATTACTATTTGGTCTTATTCCTGGGAAGGAGCAGTGTTGAAGAAGGGCTTTTTCCTCTCTCCTGAATAAGGAAAACTGTGGGTTTGTTTTTGTTGATATTTCTATTTGTTCCTTTTTAATGGCTTTTTATAATCTATGGAATTGGAGAATGAAATGTCTGTTTACTTTTATTAACTGAATCTGTGAATCTCCCCTAAAATGCGTCTTAAAAGTGCCTTGAAAGCGCCAAGTCTTCAAGTCTTCCTCCTGTAGTTTTTTTCCACATTGAGAGGTTTTTTTATTTTTAATTTTTTTTCCAAAATTGCGGAGGGTAGTAAAAATAGTCTTTCCTTCAGTGTTTTAATTTCTAGAAAATAAAATTGATGAATCTGGTGCTGATAATCTCTGAAGAAATATAATTGCCTTTACAGAAGTCTTGTTATTTTCATATTGTCTACTTGGGTAGTCAATTGCATCTTTGGGGAATTCAAATTTATATAACCTATTATTTTGAAAGCTGTTTGGTTGTTTGTTTTTAAGATCAAATGTGGTAATTCCTGCAAATACTTTTTTTTTCTGTGAAGCTTCATCTTCCATGTGATTAAAGTTGACCAGAAAAATCTTCTGTTTAAGGGAAGGAGAGGAAGAATGTTATTGGTATCTAGCTTGCATAGCACCTTGCAGCTATTGCTTATTTTAGAATTTGAATAAATGTTATCTTTCCTCAAGCACTATGGGATACCACAACTCAAAGATGTAGTTCTGCAGTATTAAAGATCTTTTTTCAAGCCTCTCTAAGTTAGAGAGTAGGAAAAAAATATGTACATTACACACTATATTTAAAATACAGAAAGTTGGCATCATCTTAAATGACTAGAACTAATACACTTTTGGTGAAGTGGGAGAGCAGGCTTTTCTGTATATAGCTAAGCTGACCCAAGGTGCACATATTTCTTTAACTATCTGCTGCTTTCTTAAGGCTGAAGTAAGGCTGATTTTTTACAGTAAAACAGATTAAATATGAATAGGAGCCTTGTGACAGTCTCTATATTAGCAGTTCCCTTGTTAGTCTTGAATATATGACAGATGTCTAAAATGTACTCTTGCTTCTTGCATACAAAATTTCAATTAATTGGAAATACAGTGGATGTTGGTACTCTCCATTCTCACAGTTGTGAAACTGTTGGTTTTCTGCTGTTATAAAAGCATCAACTTAAACTTCTTTTTTCTGACATTTCTTGTTGTTACAACTACTTGTATCTCTCATATTCTTTTTCTCTAAGCTTTCTTTTCTCCTTGTTGTCTGAGTCGGAACTTGTCTTCCCTGCTTTGGTAATCTGCTGCTCATTCAGTTTTCAAGATGTCTGCGATTTCATAGCTTCAGTTTGCTTCTTTCTTTTCCAAAGAGTCTCTATGTTTGTTTTAGGAAGATGGGAAGTAGAAGAGCTGAAAGAAAACACAGTGCCTGGAGACAGAGGATTAGTGTTAAAATCAATAGCAAAGCATCATGCAATATCAGCTATGCTAACAAAGCCATTTATTTTTGATGATAAACCTTTGATTGTTCAGTAAGTAATTCCTCAAATTTGTGCCTAACAATTTTGTTCTTAAAAACTTTAAGTCAAGAAGCTAATCTAAATCCTTGTAGAAAAAAACTGACTTGCATATAGCATTGACTATCATATCCAGACATATCGGAACTGCAGATGTGTAAGATCTGATGATTAAGTAAAATTTAATTTACTAATTTAATAAAGTTTAATAAACAATAAAAAAGATTGCAATAAAAGTGTTAACAAATATTGTTTAAGCTCTTTTGAAATATTTTTGGCCAGAAATAAAAGATTTTACAAAACTGCTAAAATAGCTAATAGGTTTTCAGTCTTTCTCTGAAAATCTAAGTATATGTATGTATATAAGTAATTTGAATAGTATATATGTAATTTGAGTAGAGCTTTTTTTACATTTACAGCCTGTGGCTTGAGTCTTGCAGGTACCACAGCAGTATCAGTGGAGCTCAGTGTACTTTTGACGTGGTGAAATTAGTGATCAGTGCCATGGCAATATGACTATATGTTGTTTCTGATACTGAGACTTGCTTTGTTATGCCTGTAAACACATATAAATAACTGCTGTGGCTGAATATAGTGTGTCATATAGGTAGTTCCTAAGATAGCAGAAATCTTCCAGGGCTCGGTTGCTAATTCACTTTGATGCTTGTACATTGGTCAATAAAACCTCGGAACTTTTCTTTTTTGTGATAAAGCTGCAGCAATTGCTACTGTGATGCTTTTGATTGACATCATTGCTGTGTTGGTTTTTATGGTAACTAAAATCTTCTGGCCATGTAGAAAGGTTTTCATAGCTGTGACTAACAGATAGTAAGAACATACGCAAAATTAGAATTCCCTATGATAAATGAATTTAAATTTACTTATTTATTTATTTTAATACTCCCCCTTTACCCAGGTACGAAGTCAATTTTCAAGAAGGTATTGACTGTGGCGGAGCGTATGTTAAGCTTCTGTCCAGAAGTGATGACTTGGATCTGGTATGTTGTCTTGCTTAATATTTGCTAACATATATTCATTTTGAGAATAGATAACTGTTCTTATGGGGAATCAGTAAAAGAATAATTCGTAATACATACTATATTTCTAACAGCATCCAAAATATTCAAGCAGAAGTTTGGGCAAGATCAATGACATAGCTAAGACTGATCATGAGTACACAAAGCTTTCATAGTTGTGCAGGTTTTTATTGGAATATTGGAAAAATGTGAATTTCAAAAGATTTAAATGAACAGTGTAGTGTGTTAAATGTATTCCTCTTAGTTCTGCATATGAGCAGTATTATGTAATAAAATTTCAAGCATTGATAGGCAGAACAGAAGAGTTCTATTACTGTTTCATCTGACTTTGAAATAGCACAAGGCATAGAATCTCAAATGTTCTTTCAGTAGTTTTTTACCAAATGATATGCCATATGTAATCTTTTAAAAAGCCCAAGACTTAGATTTAGAAAATGCTTATGATGAGAATCTCCATCCTCAGGGAAATTTTGTTAATGATCAGCTATCCTAGATAAAGAAACAAAAAATGAACAAACAAGAAAAATCAAGAGAAACAATCTACAACAGAAAGTTGTAGATATATATATACCTCAGTATTTTGGGCCATTCAGTAGATTGTCTCTCACAGTATTGTTGGGAACTTGCTTGTCCTTTCTGAGCCTCATTCCTTACAGCTATGCTGACACAATTGGACATTTCTGGTTCAAAATGCTGCTTGCCTTTTTCAGTCAAGCGTTGGTTCTAGCACACACAAACTGATTGTTTCTGCTGTTATATAGCTACCCCTACGCTCAGGTGCAAATGTAGACAATCTAGACCATGATGGAGGATATTCTATCAGTGCTTTTAACCTTCAGAAGTCACAGTGATTTGTGGCCTAGAGTTTGCTGCAGAATGCTTGTTATGCTGGCAGAGCAGAATTGGCTGATATATTCAGTGGGAGCTGGTGCTTCTAATATATGACAGCAATTACAGAAATAGGTTACATGCTTGGATAAACTTGGAATGACCAGTGTGGATTCAAAATTTTGGCAAGAGAAAGGGCACATCGTGACTGGGGGGAGCTTACCATGGCTCAGCACTACAAACACAAAACGAGAACGATAATTCTGGTCCTCAAGCAAGCTGCTGAGGCTGTTTAGTAGCTGACTTCCCTGCCTGCTACAGATTTATTAGTGTTGTTGAGGCAGCTTTCAGTACTGTAGTGACAGAAACTTGAGGCAGTCACAGCTACAGCCTATAGAGCTGTTCATTCTGATGCATCAGGCTGTGTAGTTTGCTCACCAAACAAGATTTGGTAAGCTAGAAAGGCAAGTTTGTGGGATGAAAAAAAACCAACAAATGTTCTAAAAATCTCTTTTCGTGCAAGTGGAGGCAAAAATCTCATAATTTTCTTTCTGAGTAAGTAGGGACTGATGTCCATCTTAGGCCCCTATGCCTAAGACATGCTGCTGTTTTCTTGACCTATGAAGCCACAATCTTGACTTTAAAGTACCAAGTTGAAGGATGTCATTGTGTGCTGACTAAACTTAAAATAATGAAAGAAGGCCCTAGCTCACAGTGAGATGGCATTGCCTGCAGCCTCTCTGGATGCTGGTTTACCCACGTTTGTATTACTGTGAAGTACAATGCCCTGGTTATGTGCAAAATGAAGAAGAAATTCTTCAGGACATTGCCTGTCCTCACCTGCAAACCAACAGTGGTGGCATGTATAAAGTGTTGTTTTTAAGCAGTTATATTAATAAAAGCGTTAAGGCATCTTCCTGTTTCTCTTGCTATTTCCCAAAATCTGTATGCTATTTTTTTTCTCTCTGTACTTCATACAACTTTTGTACAAGTAAGTATTAAAACATGGGCTGTAGGAAAACAATTTGAGGCATGGCAGCTTTTATTGTGGAAAGATGTGTAAATAAGAAAAAATGGTGTGTGCGTTAGTAAACCAGAGAGGCAGCAAAGACAAAACTTTCCTGTTTCTGGATTGGCTCACAATGCATGCTTTTTTTGAGCTTTGCTGGCTGTAAGATGAAGTAACTTGAAAGAGTCAGTCTTTTCTTGCACATTTATTTTCTAATTTAAAATTAGATATATCTCAATGCTGTATGCTTGTTGCTATTAGTCAGTTGAATATTTTTAATCCTATCAGTGACATTTTCGAAGATGAGTGTTGTAAAAGTGACCAAATATAAAACATGTGCTTCTACAGTTTTTGCTAAATCTAAAATAATAATGTTTTACCTTGCCTACAAAAACTGCTTAAAAAGTGTGTGTGTGTGTGTGTGTGTGTGTATATATATATATATATATATATAAAATGTGTATATATATATATATATATATATAAAAAGAACTTAAGTTATTTCCCCTCAAGTAATTCCTTAAGAATTTATGACAAGTTACTGTGAATTACAAATACAAAAATTGTATAAACAGGTGAAAAATATTGAATATATCTGAACAGCTTAATGCAGTATACTTTTAAGTACTGGATAATTATATCCTTTTTATATGCATTGAAATCTAATTTGCTGGAAAGCATAGTATTTAGTTTCCTTCTGTCTTTTAGTGTAATGTATGTAGAAGGAGATAGGCATTTTGTTTTGTGACAAGCATTTCCACTCAATGTAAGGATAATGTCTTAGTAAGGATATTTATGTTCCTATAAGAAGCTTAACTGTTCTTTTACGGTTAGCCAGAACTAAGAACAGAAAGCACTCAGCAACTCACAGGGACTGTTCTGTACCTTTCAGGATTCTGCCTACCAGTTTTCAGTTTTAGAGTTAATGTTATAGGAGAAAACAGGTAGCTACCACATGCTACAGCATCAAGGCAAAGTAGTAGCCATGGTGACTTCAGCAAATGTACAGCATAACCCATGCTCAGCTTTCTTGCTTCTGCAGGAATACTTTTTTGACAAAACACCTTATACTATTATGTTTGGACCAGATAAATGTGGAGAAGACTACAAACTACACTTTATCTTCAGACATAAGAATCCTAAAACTGGAGAATATGATGAAAAACATGCAAAACAATCTGTTGCAGATCTAAAAAAATTCTATATGGACAAGAAGACACACCTCTATACTCTTGGTATTGTTTAATTCTTAAAAGTTTAACTTAAGAAATGTTAGAGATTACTTTCCCTCCACTGAAACTTTGCATCTGAGCCAGCTTTCTGTTTGCAATGGTCCGTTCATTTGTGGGGTAGTTGTGTTAACATATGAGCGTAAATGCTTTAGTGGATGCAGAACACAATTGGCTCTGTAGTGCTGTAGTTTAAGGTTCAGTTCCAGGGAAATGCATATTGGCCAACTTAACACGGAGCAGTTGATTACTGCTTTCTGTATTTTACTATGATAAGATGACATAAGGATAAGAATGGTATTAAAAAGTATCAAATACCTTCCTAGAATATTGGGTATCAGATGAATTTACAGAAATTTATTTAGACATCCTGCAGAACACCGAATGCTGATTATCTCCACACATTAGAGGTCTTGGTAAAGCTCCATCTGCAGCAATATGCATAAAGAGGTGCTACCACCCACTCTGAACTGAAGATAAATTTGGGCTATTTTAATTGTCAATGAACAATACAATAGAGCTGAGACTTTACTTTCGTGGTTCCTTTCAAAATTTATAGGAAGAATAAAGAGAAACACGAGAAAGAGAGTAAACAAATCTATGTTATACTGCAAATCCAGCAGAATTAATTGAATTTTCACTGATTAATAATGAAAAATGTGCTCAACTTAATCTGCCATAAAAAAAATAGGGTAGTGTGCCATAATAGCAAACATTAGGAGTAAGTAAAACAGAATGACAGAAATGAGGTGCAGGGGAACAATCAGTGAATGATCTTTCCCACCCTCCTATACTTAGTAAGTAAAGGAATGAGTGATATTCTCTGGTTGCATGTTCTTTTGAGATGATGATTAAAGATGCTTAAATTCAAATAGTATTTACTCAATTATGGATGTTAGAATAGAACAAATAGTTTAATAGGACCAAAGATGTTGAATATGATTCTAATGTATTTATCTGATTGATAAAATCAGTTGGAAAAAAAATCATGATTCTGCGTATTTAAAATGATGTGGGGTTTTAATTTTTGCATTTGTGGATATTTTAGTTCAGTTCAAAGCTTTTAAACTGTAAGAGCTTAATTAGATATTATCATAATATCATTATGAGATTATTTTTGCTTTCAGCTCCCACCTCAGTAAATTGTCATTAAAAGTGGAATAGTGTTTGCTTTGAATTAATAATCTTATTTAGAGCGAGAGGTACATTTGGTTACATTTGTTAAGCGATTAGTATAATTGCTGGTCATTAGAAATGGGTCTGGATACAAGGTCTGTAGTCGAGCCTGTTGCTGCTCCATTTGAAGACCCTTCTCCATCAGCTACCTGAACTTGTTGAAATATTTAGCCATTGGGGAAGAGCTTTGTGTGTTTGCAGTCTGGCAGTTGGGCAAAGAGCTCAGTCAGATCTGAGCCTGAGACGTAAATACTGCTTTGATGGTTCTTCAGTTGTGGTGTTGCCCAAGTGCTTCTGTCTCCACGTTGTGCAGCGTGGAGCTGTAATTTGATAGCAGAGATGTTTTGTGGGCAAAGGTTTATTTTTATTGTCCTCATATAAAATTCCTAGAATTTTGGCCAAGTGATGAGTTTTTGAATCTGTTAGAATGTGCTTGGATGTATTTCAGCTAATGAGCATCTTGCAGGTTTCAGTTTTTCTGGGCCTGATGCTGGACACGCTGTCTCCACAGTAGCAACTTCATTGTATTGTGTCCAGGTCCCGTAGCTGATCTGAATGGAAAATCTGTTGGGGGAAATTATTTGTTTATTATTTGTCTAAACTTGTGCACAGTGTATAGGCTTTGGGCTAGAGAGATCTGTAAAATGTATACTTTTTGCTTTCTTTTAATACATATATATTTCAATTTAGTGCTGAAACCAGATGATACTTTTGAAATGTTAATCGACCAATCAGTTGTCAGTAAAGGAAGTCTTCTGGAGGATATGATTCCTCCAGTAAACCCACCTAAAGAAATAGATGATCCTAATGATAAGAAGCCTGATGACTGGGATGAGAGAGCAAAAATACCAGATCCCAATGCTGTAAAACCAGATGATTGGTAAGGAGATAAATTTATCTGTAGAAAAACACTTAAACACTTTGAAAGACTTGACTGGGTGGATTTTGTTGCTGTTAGGCTTTTGTTTGTTTGTTTTGCTAATGACATATTTTTTTTCTACTGAAAAATAATACTTGTGTTTGAAAATGTGTACAGATTGGGGGAATGTAAGGACCCATTCTTTAAATACAACTTGTGTTTCCTACTAATTTGTTTCAAGCCTCTGTTGTAGCAAGTAATACCTCAGATTAGTTGAAAGATTAGAAATGTTATCTTTTTTTTTTTTTCTTCCTCCCTCCATTACGTATTCTTTATTTACATTTAGTGATTTCTGCTTAGATCGTTTTCTGTGAGGTAAAGATCATATAATAACTGAGGAATAAAAGAGAAAAAGTCAGTGGGGAAACATGTCTGAAATCTACCAGCTGATGGCAGCAATTTGTGGGCTAATTAGCATCTCTTGTAACTGCGTAACTATAACTTTTAAATATGAATTTAAAATAGGTTTGTGTGCCTAATTCTGTTGTGCCTTTGAATATCATCCCTTTCATGTTAGTTACAGTCCTCTGAACAGAACTATGGTTCAAAGTCAGGTTGCTGTATTTTATAACATCAGTCTGTAATTAAAGGGATGAAGATGAGCCTTTGAAAATAGAAGATCCTGATGCTGTGAAGCCTGAGGGATGGCTTGATGATGAACCGAAGTATATTCCAGACCCTCATGCAAAAAAGCCAAAGGACTGGTAAGAACTTAGTTCCATAATACGTAGCTATTAATGTATCCTGAATCTTCTCTGGCAATTTGTTATGTGGAATTTTGTGGATCAGAACTTCAGTTCACATTTCACCTTACTTGGACATAACAAGTCATAATTTTTAAGGTGTGGTCAAACATCTGTTGGTTTGGGGAGTGTTTTTAGAAAAGTATGAAAATGTCAGTAATTGCCTATTATTTCTGAAGATATAAAAGGGGGGATACCAGAGACTCCTCTGAGGGAATCTGCTACAATGATAAAACAATTTAAGTGGATACTTATATATTGTATGGTGGTCAAAGTGGTGTAAGCACCTTATGGGGAAGTGTTTCAAGCTATCTGCAGATTGGATAATAAAATTACATTCAATTATGCCGTAGTTGAAAATACAGTTTAAAAAGCGCTCTGAAAATATATGCTCATAAAAAAAGGTGCAAGCGAAACTCTGAGGCTTATTTTTTTTTTTTTTAAGAAAAGTATAAACGTCAGTTTGAGACTGACTGCTAGTGTTCAGATGAGTCTGAACTGAATGTTTGTCAGTCATTCTTAACCCTGTTTCTGTAGGGATGAAGAAATGGATGGTGAGTGGGAAGCCCCTCAGATTCCAAATCCCAAGTGTGAGACTGCACCTGGTTGTGGACCATGGGTGCATCCTGTGATGAATAATCCAAAATATAAAGGAAAATGGAAACCACCTATGATAGATAATCCTAATTATCAGGTAATAACAATACTAAATTTTGTTGTTAGAAGATAGTTTAACAGCGGGCAAGTTGAAGTGCCATATTATTCTTGACTTTTCTACAGTATATTTTATAATGAGCTTGAACATCATCACTAAACATCTGGAGGTTTTTCTGCTTTTAGAATAAATAAGCTTTCTTTATGGCTGCTATTAGAACAACTTTTCATATTTATAAAATATATGAAAAGAACATTCAAATAGTAAATTCAAAGAGATACAGGAGATGCAAGATTTTAAGTGTCTGTTTTGTGGAACTGAAATACTAATTTTGAAAGCAAACCAAGTACAGTTTGACTGTTTTATATCTTTGGGCTTTTGAATTGTGTTATTTAATAGAATAATTCACTCTTTTCTTGGTAGATTTTTGTAGGGACTTATCTTTAAATGAGCATACTTAATCAAAATAAAGATTAAGCCCTTCAGTAAGAAGACAGACTTTTGAATAGCACCTCTCTTGTAACCTCAGATACAAGAGAGAATTAGTCTGACATCAAAGAGCTCCTTTGTGTTAATTCTGTTCTGGGAGAATTTAAGTCTAATTTCTTTTAGTTTAAGATCTAAGCAGGTTTTTATACAAAAGAGTGTGTGGCTTTAAGCAATTTTGACAGGTATTCACAGAGCTGAATTTTCCTTCCTGAAAATGTTGTGTAACACTTCAGGTTACAGAAGCTACAAGTATATACATACACACACACACACACACACACACACACACACACACACACAGTTGCAACTTCAGAGTAATGATTTGCTCTATATGTTCTCATTCCTTTAGAATACTGTTTTGAGGTAGTAGCTATTTTCTCTCTGACATTCCACAGTCCAATGATATTTTAGCAATTAAGAATTTTATAGTGATCAGTAATGAGCTTTATCAGCTTTTTATGTATTTATATATATATATATATACATATATATATATATATGTATGTATGTACATATGCACACACATGCATCTGAGCATAACTGACAGTGTTGGGAATGTTTTTTTGAGTAGCGAACTGAAAGAATTCAGGGAGCCCTAATTGTTTTCTAATGTATTCTTAATCTTCTTTTTTTTTTTTTTTTTTTTTTTTTTCCCCCCTCCCCCCCTACCCTTTCAAAGGGAATCTGGAGACCCCGGAAAATTTCAAACCCAGACTATTTTGAAGATCTTCACCCATTTGAGATGACTGCTGTCAGTGCTATTGGTTTAGAGCTCTGGTCTATGACATCAGATATCTACTTTGATAACTTCATTATATGCTCAGAAAAAGAAGTAGCAGATCGCTGGGCAGCAGATGGCTGGGGCTTGAAAAAATTAATAGCAAGTGCTAACGAGGTATAAGCTATATTATGTTCTTATAGAGGAAGAAGTGAGAAGAATTTTCTGTTTATGCTCACAGAATATTAATTTATCTACAATTACAATATTTTGTTAAGTAGCTGTAACAGTTTTTCCCAGTTTGACCTTTTAGCTAGATCAATATCCTCCTGGTATTAAAATGCCTTGCTTGACCACCTAGTATGAAAAGTAGGAGCTATCCACACTTTTCCCAATAACTTGTTTATGTATGTGTTTCCATTCCTCCAGAAATAGATAATTAGGTGATTTTGTGTTTAAAGATTCTGGGATTCTGGATGAATAATATGCAGCTCAGAAAATGTTTGTGCGTATATTTGTGCATATGTTTGTGCACCTGTGTCTGCTCTTCTACCCATATGTCCACGTTTTGTTCTGCTGTGCTTGAGCAGCCACTACAGTTTGTCTAGATTGGTACTCTGTAGGGTGAACCTGCTCTAATATCCATGATCATGAGCCCCTCTAGTGGCTGCTTTTACTGAGTATGTTTTCTTCCTGAAGGTCCTATTTTTTGATAGCTTAGAAAACTGAGTACTGTGCATTTCAAATTTTGAAAACTGGAGACTGTTCTAAACACAAAGTCTATTTTGATTGTGTTTTATTTTTTAAAAAAATATTTATATATATATATTCACAGCCTGGTATGTTCACTCAGCTGGTGACTGCAGCAGATGACTACCCATGGCTTTGGGTTCTTTACATCCTGACTTTAGCTCTCCCTGTTGGTCTGGGTGTGCTGTTCTGTTGGCCAGCAAAGGTAGGAGAAATTGAGTGGCTTTTGTTTCTGTGTGATGGGATTAAGGTGGGAGTGGGTTTGGGGTTTTGTTCTTTTTTTGGCTGTTTATTTTGTTTTAAACTCTTACCTAAAATATAAAACTTGCAAAATCCTAGCATTTGTGCAACAACATGCTCTTTTAATGTGCCATTAATAATATTTATTTAAGAATGAAACATAAGTAAATGAGCATTGAAATCTGACTTTAAATGTATGTTGATTTTTAATGTGTTGTAGAAGATAGATGAAGATATCGGCTTCAAAAAAAGTGATATACCTAAGCAAATTACAAAGGGAGAACTAGAACAAGAGGGACAGGAGTTAGAAGATGACGAAATAGAATTAGAAGAGGAAAAACAAAATAAAGAAGAGATTGCTGGAGATGGTAAGACAAGCAACAGTTTGTGGTACAACAAATATGAACATGTGATTAGGTCTAGATGACAGATTGTATTGCCAGTAATTTTAATCAGTTGAAATTTAAGTTCATACACTCCGCTTTACTCTGGGCCTTTTCTGCTTTTCCTTTGACAGGCCTCAGTGAGTGGAACTACATTTCCCAAAACTCTGTGATAAATTAAGCAGAAAATAGAGCTTTCTTCATTATTATTATTTTTTCTCCTTCTGCAGGAATTAAAGTGCTTCTGTCAGGCTTTCTCCCTTCTTAATATTTCATGTCCTGAACATTCTTGAATGGTTCAGATGTCTGTACCTAGAATGGCTGAGGTCGTATCCTTAAGATGTGTACTTAATAGCTGTTAGTCCTTAATGCTATTTTTACTTCTCCCACTGTGGGAAGGTTGTACTCTGAAATATTTTGTTGGTTGCCGCTTTTCAGTAAAACGTAAGTCTCGACAGTCAAGTTGATATGAAATCCTGACATTTGCTTTATGCTTCATGTGTTATATGTCACTTTCTAGCAATGCGTTGACTGCTTGCAGAAATCTGTTCTGCTACGCCAAGAGAAATCAATAATCAGTAGATTGAGGTATACTTTGGCATTTTAGGATTTGATAAAATTATGTCATGTTACTGCATGAAATATAATCAAAGCTATTAAACTGCAGTTTTGATTTTGTGTTAGCATTTCCCTGAGTGCATAGTTATGAATAAGAAAGGAATCACCTGATGTGCATTGTGTTGTCTTGACTTCTGTGAGGATCTCCGCAGTCTCTGCAAGATTCTGCCTCTTGCTTCATTTCTTCCTTGGTGAGAATAAAAATAAGTGACAGGTGACTGGCATCAAAGGTAGCAACTCAGGAAGTATTGACTTTTTTTTTCTCTGCCTTTAACATCTTTTTATGTTACTAACTGAAACTTTGTGTTTCTTGTCCATCTTTGCACCGTATGCCACAAATATCTGACTTAACTCAGCATCATGTGTTCCCACGCCAATCCATATAGAATTTTATACTTTGGGGCAACACTTGTCATGTCAAACTTAAGCCAAGTCTCTTACCACTGGAGTCTTAATAAGATATTAGCTCTCAGCATCATTTGTAGCCCCAGCCCTTTGTTGTTTTCTCTTCCTATGTTTTCCTTTTGATAGCATTCTATTCAGTATGCTTTTTGCTCCTGATAAAGAATGTTTTTTTTTTTTTTTTTTTTTTTTAACCCAGTCTTAATGGACTTCACAGATACTTTTGATGCTCTGTGCAGTTCTGTCAGTAAGGCTGTTTGAGACACCTCAGTTTCAAAATTCTTTTGTTCATCCACATCAGGATGCTCCCATCAAATTTAGTCCTTTGTATACCCATGTCCTGAGTTCTGTTGAGTATCTGATACTCACTTTTATTTTGTTAAGAATCAATATGTGAAACTGTTGTTCTCAACTTAGAGCTCTACTATCATAAGCTTCTGCTTTATCAATATTCTGGTCCACGATGAGAGCAGGAGCAAGTTTTGAATATCAGTCATCCATCCTTGCAAGACGTCATTTCCCTCAGTGATCTTGTAAAAGTAGACCATTTCCCTTGTAACCTGTGCAAATGACTCATCTCAGACAGCTGGCAGACCAAGGCATGTTGAGTAATTCATACATCCCCCAGACGGCATTTCTTTTTATCTAAGGTTCTCGTTGTCAAACTTTCACTTAGCATTTAGCATATTGTTTTGACTTGAACAGGAGGAAAGTTTAATTTTTATGGAGGACATAGTTTGTGAATCTGCTGTCGTCTAGATGAATTAAATCATTACAGGACAGGTAATAAATACTATGTTAAAGTGCATATTTGAGTGTTAGAAATAAGGTCCAAGCAATCACAGTGGAAAAGCTGTGGGTTTTGTTGTTGTTCTTGGTGTTTTTTTTTTTTTTTTTTTTTAGGAATTATTTTTAAAATGGTTGTTTCAGCAGTTAGCTTCATTTTAGACCTTTACATTTAGTTGCTAAACTGAAGTAACATAACTAACAGAACTAGCTCTCATATGACTACTCCAAGGTTTTCAAGAAAATTCTAGGTTACCCCCTTATAGGTAACCACTATAAGGTTACCCCTTATATTTGTAGTTTGATGGGAGAAGAGAGGGAAAAAAAAAAAAAAGAAGATTTCATTCTTTTGCCTCTTTCTTAGCTCAAAGCATGGAACAATTGCCTTCTGCTTACCTCCTTTTTTTTTTTTCTGCTTTAGAAAGAAGAGAACTGGAGGAGACAAAAAGTGAGCTGATGAAGGAAACGAGGCAGATGGGAAGGAGGGATCCCCCTTCAGGTACAGGGAAAGGGAAATAGCTAGGGGCAGGTCTTGAAGACAATCTCTTTCTTCCTTGTTCTTCTGCTTCCTTGCTGTTGCTAGAACAGCAAGGTGGTAGAAGGCAGCCTTCAACAGCTGTGGAAGTAACTTTCCTACCAGATTTCTCAATATGGAACTCCTTCGTCATTATTACCTGCTGCTTTGTTTTCTGGATCAGAGAATAACTCGGTTTGAGCAATGAAAGGCTTGTAGATTTTTTTCAGTTCAAGTGAGAATGAGTTGCTGGCAGAGTGGTCCTGAAAGGACATTATCATTGGGATTTACTGCCCTGTTTTTTTTTTTTTTTTTTGTCGGCACGTCTGAAGTTTATATTTCATTCTTGACTATTTCACTTAACTGCTTCATGCTCTTGCTCTTCTTTTAGACAAACATCCCAACAAATAAAAGTATCTTGCCAAGAAGTGTAATTGCTGAGTCATAGTTGGATTCTTGCTTATTAGGTTTTATAAATTTACTTATATTAAATACCGATTCAATTCATTTTATACTAAATTAATAGTTTAAAATAATATTGTTCTTTTTGCTCCATTTCTGAGCTTTGCCACTTCCAATGTATGAAGCTTTTTGGTTTTTCTTCCTCTATTGAATGAGTGCTTATGGAAGATGCTGGATTTCCACAACTTAAAAATGTTAATCTTGTGACTAGAATATGAACAAAGGTACCGTTTTCTATGTCACAAACACTTAAATTTATTTGGGCGTTACTGAGCTGAGGCAGTAAAAAATCTTATCTGTTTTTCTTTTACCTTAAAGTAGTGTCACATAGGATCTGACCAAGATAGCAAAAGCAGAGTTTGAAGTAGTTAATCCTTTTAGCTGTTGCTCCTGTTTTTTACAAAACTACGGGAAGACTTGTAAAATGTCATCTATGCCTTCTCTGTCAGATTTAGAGATGTCTTCTTGTTTGCTTGGAAAGTATTGCAAAGGATACTAGATTACAGTAACTCTTTTGTGACTGCTGAGATTTAGCTCCTATCATGAACACTGATACTTAAAATGCAGGCTTGGGAATGCCAGTTTTTATGTCCTGAGCCCCAGACAGCCGATGCTCAGCATCCTTCTAAAGTACAGAGAAGTGAGGCAGACAGAGCCCAGCAGGGCAGCCTGTGCTGGTCAGAGCAGGACTCAATGCATTCCCTGCTCGCTGTGAGGCAGTGTTGCAGCTTCTCTAAGGCACTAGAAAGTGCTTGTGTTGCTTCATACAATCCCGTGAGAACTGGAGCATAGAAAGGGTGGAGTTCATTCCTCTGCATCTTAATAGAGTTCTGTATATAAAGTAAAATTAATTTCTGCTGCAGAAGGTGAGGGTGAAGCTGGTGAAGATACTGATGAAGAGGAAAATGAAGATGGAAGCCAAGAAGGTGATAAATCAAATAAATCTGGCTCAGATGATGAGGTGAGGTTTTCTTTTTTCCAGTGTTGTTCTCGTCCTTCTCCAAAATCATACTTGCAACTAAGCCCAGTTACCTCTGATAGTCTTTCTTCTGTTGAGCCACAAACAAATCATGAGATTGGGGATATGTTTCTAATTATTTTACACCTCAGACACACCATTTGTACAGACTTGTAAAACGTATGTTGCTCTTCCTGTAATTTTGTCCAGGAGATGGTATTTATTGTAAAATTGAGGTTTAGCCTAAGAGTGATTGTGTAGGTCTCTAAACATGAACCGTTTCTACAAGAATGTAATTTTTATATTTTAAACAAGTTAGGAAATGAATTGGAGGCTTTGAAAAATCGATGTTGCCCTAGGTATCCAGTCTTTTGTTTTTACTATGCTTTGTAACTGACTGTTTGCTTCTGGGTACTCCTTCAGGGAGATTTGGGAAAAATCTCAGGCCTTTGGGTTTTTTCTTCTTTCAAATTGCAAAGTAAGATTTTAAGCAAAATGACCCCATATGTTTTGAATTCAGTAAGTGTGCTTATCCTTTTTTAATACAAACTTAATCCGGGAACCAGATTCTATTAAATATTTTTTCAGAAAAGTACGTTCTAGAATGTAATTGATATGTTCTTCTTAATAGTTGACCACTCCTTTTGTTTCAGGGCTGTATTTCTTTATTTACTACCCCTTAGTCAATACTGTCTCTTGTTCCTGTACGAAACATTTTTTTTTCTTGTGCATTTACCCAAGAATAGAGTATCTGATGAGCCCATTAAGCTGTATGCGATTCTTGTAGTATGTGATCTGGAATATACTTGAATCCATTACAGGGTACCAGTCACCACAAGGCTATGCCTCTCTTATATGGGCATTTTCAGAACATCAAAGTTTTTAATCATTAGTTAGCTCATGACCTAATTTGGGGATGTCATCAACACCACGTCATCACTAAAGTAGTGCCACATTCAGTGAATTGCTCATTCTAAACCAGATGCTCCTGTGGTGGGATGCAGGAAAGAGGAAGCAGCGTGTCCTTCGAGAATGGAGTTCCTGTTGGAGAGATGGTTTGTAGACCTACATCTAAGACAGTCACTTAGACACAGAAAAATGGATATCTGGATTAAATCTGTTTGTGGCCTCCCCAAGAAATGCAGTTTTAATGTTTTAAGTGTTTCTTACCTAGGAAATGGACATTAAAATAATTTTGAAGGAAATTGTTGAATTCATTAAAAAAAAAAGAATTTCTGACTTTAGTTTAGATGTGCTATTCTCTCTTTCTTGAACAGAGAAAGGAAACATCTTTTACCAACGTTACTTATTAGATTAATCCTGTCAATGAAGTGTTACATTTAGTGATAATATGATGGGGGGTGATGAGGAGAAGGGGCAGAAGAAACAAACATGCCAGTTTCAGTAAAGAAATAGAAATGTTAGTGCTGAAATTCTTTTTTTTTTTTTTTTTTCTCTCCATTTCAGATGAAAGAAGCTGATGAAGGCACAGGCTCTGGAGATGGCCCACTGAAATCAGTTCGCAAAAGGAGAGTACGAAAAGACTAAGTTTTTTTCCAGCTAATATTTTTAGAACTTGATAATTGTAACTTTTGGTATGGCATTGCAGTAGGCCTGAGAGCATGCAAGTCCCTGGGGGGAAAAAGAAAAAAAAAAAAAAAAAAAAAAAAAGGGACTTGTTGCTATGTAGCCGCCTATTTTAATTCTCCATCCTCTTTAACCTCATCCTCTTTAACCTTTCCAGACTTTCCTTATGTCCCTTTCTAGGGAGCAGTATCTGTGAAGAATTAGCTAATGTTTTGAATTTAGAGTAAAAGTCAAAACACAGGTTGGTCATTGGATTTTTAATATTCTTAGAAATTAGTAGGAGTCAAAGGTAAATTTTGACCATAAATATTTTTAAAGCATTAGAGGAATAAATTATTATTATTATTTAGCTCTAGCACAAAAATAGCTTTTGAAACTTCTGGAAGTTTACACATTTCAGCTCAAATGAGATGATAATCCAGATGCTATAATCTATAGCAGTTCATACTGCAAAGAGAAAGAGCTTTATTGTGCAGAGTTAAATGCAATAACATTGTTTTTGTAAGCTATAATGTTAGGCACATTTTTTATTGTAAATTATTTCTTACAGTTGATACTGATATTTTGGTAGTTCCGTGTTCACTTTAGACATTCATTAATTTGTTTAAGAGGAGTTATAGAATACTCATAGAAAAAGTAGTTAACTAATATGACTGGTTTTACTCTTGAAGGCAGATATCAAATCTACAGCAACAAAGTGATCCACAGGTAACTTTTTTCAAACTTTTTATAGTTCTCATGTTCTAAGCCGCAATGGCATAGCCCCTATTTATAGAATACTTGCTAAGTGTACATTGCCTCTTAAAAATATTTAATAATTCTTGCTTAATGTAAAATTTATTAATACAGATAATTTTTGATGGATTTTTACAGGCATAAGCAATGGCTGTTGTCATAGTTTATTTATAAACTGCATATTGTAAGATAACCTTTGTTTTGTTTAAAGTTCAGTTGTATATTTAAAAAAAAATAAACTGCAATCACTGGAAACCTCTTCCTGTTGGTGGCTTTGCTGTTTGGTGTAAACTGCTGGCAAAAAGACCTATATACTAAAAATAATTTGAAATCCACTAATACACAGAGATCTTTACAGATATCCCTCATGCCTGGCAAGGAACTCATTTGCTGTAGTAAAAGAAATTGAGACAGCAGAGGTTTTGTTGGCTCTGCCACTATTATGCAACTCTAACAAATGAGCAAGTCTTAATTATCTCTGATGAAGATCCCTGATGAAGCCTTTGTCTTCAAGTGCGTGTGCTGAAGTATTTTAAAGTTAAGAATTTTGGACTCTGTTTTCTGTGGAGAAACATATAGAAAGATCTCTGGTAAGAAATGTTAAATGCATGAGTTGTGTTGTCTTTACTCTGTTTGCTGTAACAAACAATGGCCTCAGGCACCGCTTTCTCCTGTGAATTTTTAAACCATAGATGGAGACTGTCAGCAGTGAAGGATAGTGCCAGTGACCAAGGGGACCTGAGTAGTTGGTGGAAGGACAGAATTGCTGATTGCTGTAAGCTGACAGCATTTTTCTTTTAGTTTTCTTGTTTTGTTTTTCCCCATGAATGTGCTTGTTTCATGGCTAAGATACAGTTGCTCCACAGATCGGTCGTCATGTAGAGGATCCTGGGCTTTTCTCAACTTCTGAACCTACAGTTGCCATGAAGTCTTGATTAATACCCCATTAACAACTTTCTGTCATTTCTCTGAATAGGGGGCTCTTTCTTATGGATAAAATCCATCTGAAGTGCTAACCTACTCCCTTGCTGTGGAGGGAGTACCTGTCTGTACTGTCTCACTTCAGCAGTAAGACATTAATTAAATTGAACATTAATCCTTTCAACTATCTGAAGCTTGGAAGATACAGCCGATGTAGTTACTAACATAAGGGGGTATCTATAAGAGCAATGCCAGAAGTGAGTAGGGGATTTGAGGCTATAGATAAGCCTATGGAAATAGAACATCCAGGGGTGAAAATACCATGTGAATTAATTAATACCATGTGATTAATCTGTCTCCCCAGATTTGCTAATCACGTCTCATCTTTCAGCTTTCAGACTTCATCTATGTAGGAAAAAAAAATAAGCAACAAACTTACTTTTCTACCTTTCTATGAACCGTTTTAACAATTTACAAACATTTAACTAGTTCAGACAAATCAAAAGCTTTTATTTGGTGTAAAGTCAGAAATACAACATCTTTAAAATGTTCATAAGTTAAATGAAGGCCACAACAGTGGGATGTTAAGTGTTTATAGGTGAGTGGCTGCTATATACATAGATGGATAAAATACCACTATCCAGTCTTACAATACAAGACCATGATTTTAAGATTACTTCATCTCAGGAGAACTGCTGAAGTTTAACGAGTGCATGCTCCGTTACCACTTGACATTGGTAGGCATCTCTTGCAGTGCAGATGAAAACATGTACTGACATGGCTTTTACACTAAGATGGCTATAATGAAATATATTTTTTCTAAGTGCTTGGGGATTTTGTTTGTTTTTTTTAATCCTCAAATCTTAAGACACCAAGCAGGCTATTAGCCAGGTGACTAATTCTACCTGATAGCAATTCCTGGATGTATTCAGAGCTCTAGCTAGGCAGTAAAAGCTAACAGTCCACAGAAGATTAAAATAGTTTTAGATGTTTATAGGACCCTCATCATGTGAGATGAGCCATTGGTGCCTTGTTGGGTGAAGTTCCCAACACTATTTAAAAAGAAATCATAAGCGAGTTTGACTCGCAACCACCCCTTCAGACATAATTAGTGCTGTGTTTGCAATCATTTGATGGTGTCACTCCAGCAGTGAACACTATACAGCTATTTTAAAGAGACAAATGGGAAACTTCCCTTGGGGAAGGGAACAGCACAAGCTCTGCTTGCAGTTGGGGAAGAGCAGTGCTTAGCTGCTGAGAAGCTTGCACCTTGAGATGGCTTGATTCTACCACTGCCTAGCCACTCGCTCATGCAGTTCCTGCAGCCTAGTTTGCTTTTCAGAATCAACTAGAGCAAAGATGAGAGACAGCCTTGAACTGCTGTTTCCTTTTGCTAACAGGTAAATAAAATGGCTTTATTACCTAAGAGACAGGCCTGAGTTTTGGCTACTGTCCCTAAGCAGGTCCAGTAAGCTTCTATTGGCAAGATGAAATAAGTGTAACCAAATCCTGATGAAACTTACATTGTTGCTTGTATTTCAGCTTTTGCTTTTTTTCTTAATACTGATCATGCTAGATGTGCCCTCCCTCTGTCCCCCGAGGGCTTGGCTAGTGTTCCTCCAAAGCCGGCTCTCTGAGACCTTAGCCAGCCTAAGGCAGGACACAGGGAGACCAGGCACCCCTTTGGAGCAGCTCAGAGGCAGAGCCACCTCTCCTGCCTTGGAGGGGCCTGGGATACATTTCCAGAGGCTCTCCACAAGCTGAGTCTTTGCAGCAGGGAAACGGCTGCTCTAAGTCATCCTGAAGCAAGGATGGCTTTGGCGCTTCAGGAGGCAGGTGAAAGGTGGCAAGGAAAACTTTGTTCTTGGTCCTTCACTGCAGCTTTTTCAGAAGGAACACGAGGAACACTGCTGCCTTTCTGCTCCTGTCAAGCTTATGACATAGTGTTTCTGTAACTCTTAATCACACAGTTGAAAATCTACACCATGATGCAGTGCCTGATCATGCTTTGAGGAAGCAGGGGAGTGAGAGGGGTTTGAAGTGTGCATCTTACAAATTATCAACAGTCCAGTATTGTATCAGTTCAGTATTTTCCTGATCCTTGCTCCCCTCTTCCTTCTCTACCCAAAATCTCAATTCCTTTCCCTATCAAAAGAAATGATCACATCTCCAAGCCCTGCAAAGAATGTTATACTGCTATTACTTCACAGAAACTAACTGGTTTTAGAATTGCTTTGCAGAGATACAGATAATACCATACAGCAATCTAAGTATATTATTGTTGTGAAAAAGGTGATGTGATTAGACTTAAAATATTCATCTTAAATAACGTTTCAACACTTTTATAGTTGTATTGTTTTGCTAGGCAAGAATACTACCCTAAAACCTCAAAAGTAACCAACAGACACGTTTGTGTAACCTGACCAACTGAATCCAGTTTAACAAGATATGCTCATTTTAAAAACATAAATATGAAAGCCTAGTTTCTATACTACATTTGCACATTACTTAATCTTAACAATACACAAACTTGTCTCCTGTTCATGATAATGCTCTTAATTCTGTTTTACCACTGAAGCTTGCAGTCTGTAGGTTTCCAGTAAAGCCACAAACTAAGGTATTTAGCTCATGTAGCCTATGCCAAGTAAAACAAAAATGACAGCAGCAATACAATGATGTTGTGAATCAACCCTTACTTCCTTTTGCTTTTTGTGTCAGTTGTTTGGAAAACGCTAGATGCTGACATCAGATTTTCTATATACTGTCCAAGAACTTGGTTTTCTGATTTCAGTTTCAAGTTTTCTTCCTTGACAGCATCTACTCGTGCTGACAGATCTGTGGAAGCAATATTAATTCACAAGAAATATTAGATGTTGCATACACTAAAGAGTATGTTCTGTATGCCTACCTCAATCATTCACAATTTTAACATGGCTGTATGGTATTACCTTTTAAAACACAATCCTACTCCAAGTTTTACCTAAAGAGTTGTTTTTCACAAATTACCTGAAATACAGTATCTTATGGCAAATTTGTTCACACGCTAATTGCTATCTTGATTCTTTTTCAAACTGCTGTTGAATTAAGCTACCACGAACTAAACTGTTTGGAAACAAAATTTCAATTATGAACTGTCTCAAAGATGATCCTGTATCACCTCTTGCATGTTAGAGAGCTGAGCAAACAAGTTGCATAATGCTAAAAACAAAACCTGCTCGGTATTGCTGGAGGTTCTACTGAGATCTCGTTTATGTAACTTTAACTGCGAAAGTGACATCTCTTCTGGACAGCAGCGCTTTCGGGGTAAGGTAGGCAGAAGAGCAAGGTTCTCTTATTGTTTAATGCTTTGCTTATAAAAGATAACTAGTGTGGTGGATTGCTAACCTTCAAGTGTGTGCTGGAGTTCCAAAACTTGATTAATAAGCCGTGTTTTCTCTTCTAACTCCACCTGATTCTCTGCTTCAACAGCTGCAACAAATCACAGGAGCTTTAATGCAATACCCGTAGTGGGGCAGAAATAACAACAACAAACAACAACGGTTAAGAACTTATACCATCCATGTCCGCGTTCATCCTTGGAGAAGCGGCTCTCTCCTCGTGTGAGTGGCGTATTCCCCTGGGATGTTCTGCTTAAGGAAACAAGAGTTAGAAGAGGCGCCTGCCACCATAACAACTGCAGCCCTAGTTGACTTTTAAATGGGCTCTGCTGCAGCAGGGCTGGAAGAGCGACCCCTTGGGCCTGAAGCAGAGAGGCATTTTATAGCAGTCCTTAATTGCTTTGATGTTGCAGCCCTAAGCGCGGTGCATAAACGCAGTCCCCGGGGCTCCCTCCGCACCGCTGCCTCCCTCTCCGCACGGATTTTTCTAG